ATTTCTGACAGAGTTATTCTCAGAATGGGTAATGGAACGGTCATTATTCAAACAAATGGAACTGAAAAATCCTATGATTCAACACAGCCAAAAACAGTTAATCCATTTCTCGCGTATACACCTAATGGAACTGTTTCTAGTGTAAGTCGAAAATCAGTATCAGCAGTTCAGTTCATGTTCAAAATTAAATTTATATTTAACAAGATAGGCCAAGCTATTCTATGCTAATTATGGTCGACTTGAAGATTTTCAAAACTTAGCATCTATAGTTGGGAACGTTAGTCTTCAAGGTAGTATCATCATTATGAAATATGGCCGTATCTATCGTGGAAACAAGGTAACATTCAGTGTTTTTTCAACAAGTATAACTAGTTTTATTCGGTAGGTCATGAATGCTCAATATTTTGGTGCTGTGGGCGCTGTATTATATAATGATCCAGCTGATTATGCTCCATTCGGAACAACAGTTGATCAAGTCTATGATCGTAAATGGTATATGCCTCCAAGTGGGGCACAACGAGGAACTACATTGATCCCGAGTGGCGACCCACTCACACCTATATATCCATCTACTGGTACAATAATTGTCACTCTTTTCAATAAATCTATCGTTTTCATTTTTCATAGACTATATTCATCGACTCAAAGAAGAAAACTTGAAATTTCTATCCAGAATTCCTGCACAACCGATCAGTTATAGTGAAGCTCAAGTCATTCTTCAGTAGAAACACCCCGTCTATTTACTTAGTTTTAGCTAATAATAGAATATACTATATATAGATATCTCCGAGGTAGTGATGTGGCAACCGATTGGCGTGGCGCTTTATCTAATGTGACCTATCGTTATGGTGGGGAATTTGAATATGCAGCGTAATGCTCTTAATCTTCCAATTATTTCTCAAACATGAATATTTATCTTTTTGTTTTAGATCACTTGAAATAAGATCATATAATCGACTGGAGAGAAAAGATACATACAACGTGATCGGAATAATGAAAGGAGAAATCGAACCAGGTATTAAAAATTTATTATTCACACGTAAGATACTCGTTTTTGTCTTCATAGATCGGTATGTTGTTTTTGGTAATCATCGGTAAGACTTGTATATTCTTGTATTTTGAGATACCCATAAATAATTCGATGTTTTCTTGTTCGTTTTTTTTCGAAGTACATAGAAATAGGAGCTCACTATACTGAGAATATAGAACTTCTAATGATTTCTCTTCATTATTTTAATAATTAGATTTGCTTCATTTTAGAGATGCCTGGAGTTTAGGTGCCATCGATTCAAGCAGTGGTACTGCTATTCTGCTGGAAATAACTAGAGTTATTGGTCAAATGTATAAAAATGGTACTTTTTGCATGTTTACATTTAGATGATATCAGTTTTAGTATTTCTACTCGATAGGATTTCGACCTCGACGTAGTTTAATGTTTTGTTCATGGGGTGCTGAAGAATATGGACTCATAGGTTCAGTAGAATATGTTGAGGTACATTATTTGCTTCCATTAAATATGTATGAATATTGAACTGAAGAATGATGGAAAAGTGTAGATCTCTGTTAGAAAACTGAAGTTATTTGAATCAGACTTAGATATAGTCGATTGATCGATATATCAAATTTTGTAGAGAAAGATTAAGGCTATCATATGAAAAAAGCATACTTCGAAATGTATCGATGGTGTGAATACTATGGCCATTTCACCAACGTTGAGTGAAGAATTTCATCATACATTTTTTTCAAATAACTTGTCTTTTAAGGGTTACATGTTTTTCCTTGTGAACGTTTTTAGAGGAGCTGTCATTTTAGTGAACGATATTCGTCATATTGTTAAAGTTCTTCATATCGATAGTTTTATTTTATAAAATTTACTGTCAGGTATATGTTCTCTTATATGTAGGGATGCACCGATTCCTAGAGTATGATATTAAAGATGCCACGTTTTCTATATGAAGAGTCTAATTGTAGTGGGTCGCAATCACTTTACCGAAAATAGCTTTGCCGACGCATCACTTTGCCGACAAATTGTTTTTCCGACATGTACACTTTGTCGACAATTTATTTCCCCGACAAAAAATTAAAGTCGAAAATAAATTTAAATTTATTGTAGATACAGTGATATATATGTCAGCGTTCATACTTGAATGCGTCCAATCTCGGGTTGGTCTAGGCCGATGTCACATTGGATGTACTATTTTCAGGGGAGTCTTAGATGTCGTAGGCTNTATGCCTCCAAGTGGTGCACAACGAGGATCAGCGTATACTTCGAATGGTGATCCTTTGACACCAATATATCCATCGACAGGTTTCACAATGTTCTAGTTATTAGATTAATAAATAGAGTATCTTTGAATTTCATAGACTACATGTACAGAATGAGAGAAGACAGTTCACGCTTTCTACCTAAAATTCCTGCTCAGCCAATTGGTTATGGTGAAGCTCAGATTATTCTTCAGTAAGAAATTCTTGAATGTTATTGTGAGTTGATGATAGAAACTGTTGCACTTAGATACTTACAAGGTAGAGAAGTGGCAGTAGAATGGCGTGGAACTTTATCAAATTTAACATATCATTATGGTGGCGAACTTCGTGGTGCATCGTAAGATAATGTGATTTCAAGTTTTATAACAAGTAATTGTTTGTTCTGAATAGCACGATCGAAGTTAAAACATACAATCGACTTGAAAGAAGAAACACATACAATGTAATTGGAATAATGAAAGGAGAAATCGAACCAGGTAAGTCGAAGTCTGCTCTGTTATAATTCGAAACTGTTTATCTTTTAGACAGATATATTGCGATTGGCAACCATCGGTAGGATTTGAAGCGTTTATTTTCTTTTATAGTTTCTGTTATCACTTGTATCATTGAATACTTCTGACTGTAATGTTGAAAACTTGTCTCTGTCTTTCAGAGATTCTTGGACTTTGGGAAGTGTCGATCCAACGAGTGGAACAGCTACTCTTCTTGAAATAACACGGGTACTTGGTCAAATGTATAAAAATGGTAATTTTGCATACTAATATATATATAGTCAATACTAAAATTAACATTCAATATTTTTGATAGGATTTCGACCACGACGTAGTTTAATGTTTTGTTCATGGGGTGCTGAAGAATATGGACTTCTTGGATCCGTAGAATATATTCAGGTAAAACAGTTATCAAATGTTTTAAACCATCAACAGTATCTAAAATTGTAGTTTGACTTTTTCGTTAAAGGAATATGTTAAAGTGCTAGGTGCTCGAATCGTCTCTTACTTGAATGTAGATCTTGCAGTTCAAGGTAAAATATGTATTACAAATTCAAATGGTTACTTAATTTATGTTTGAAACAGGAAATTATACTGTCGATGTCAAGACTTCTCCAATATTGTTTGATATTATTGTCCAAGCAGCTAAAATGGTAATGATAATAATGTTCCATACTGATTTTCTCTAATTTGAGTTATAGATTCCAAGTGCATATGATCCTGCTGGACAAACTGTCTATGATAAATGGATGAATGTTAATCGAAATAATATGACTAATGAACCAAAGTAAAGAAACAAAATTGCCTCACTCAAACTGTCATCATCATTCTGTATATAGTATGAGATATGGTCTTGGATCATCTAGTGATTACTATGGTTTTGATCAGTTGGTTGGTTCATCAAATATGGATATAAGATATACATATGATGTCGCTTATCATGGAAAACTAAGTTCATATCCACTCTATCATACATCCTATGAAGTCTTCTCCATGATGAAAAACTTAATGGATCCTGATTTTATGGTTAGTTTTTTCTTGAAGAGTTTTTTTAATTTTTTCTATGTAACACTAACTCAATTAGGCTCACAGAACGATAGGACAACTTTGGGGTGTTTTAACATTACTTTTATCAGAAACACCTGTTTTACCGTTAAATGTAACAAGATATACAACGGCACTTATGCAGGCAATGAATACTCTTAAACCAAAAGATCCTACTGTTCTCGGTATAATAATAATTGTTGTTACAGTTTCACATAGTAATTAAAATATGTTCTTTTAAGATCCACTTCGAAGTGCTATCAATGATTTTGGTAATGTTGCTCAAGATTTTGTTGGACGATCGAAATCATTAGATTCTGAAAAGTAAAGTTGTTAGTAATGGAATTCAAAAAAAGAAGTGATGTTGTTTTTTTTTTGTAGTCCATATGAAATTCGAGCATATAATGATCAATTGTTACAACTTGAACGTGCATTTCTAAATCCATTAGGACAAGGTGATGATTATACTGATTTAAAGTATGAATGAATTCTTTTGTTTAAATGATGTGTTTCTTTTTTTGCTTCTATTTAAGACATATTGTTTATGCACCAGCGAAAATCAATCAATATGCGGCAGATGGTTTTCCTGCTATAAGTGATGCTATTGTTAGTGGTGATTCAACAGAAATCGCTAATCAAGTGGCAATCGCTACCTACTTTGTGCGCGGTGCTTTATCTACATTAAAAGAATTTAATAATTTTTTTTCATAATCTTTTTTCTCCCGTTAAACAACACATAAAAATATAATAAGCAACTAATTTTGTTTTGATCATTGTATTCATCTGTAATAAAATGATGACTAGTTTAGTTCTACAATTCTAGAATATATCGGATGCGTCACAATTATCTTATAGTTTTGCTTTTCGAAGGACGTTGACTACTGGACATGCGTGTTTATAGATAATACACAAAAGTCAACAATTTTGTAAAGAGATGAGTATCAAAAAGTGAAACTCTATCATGTATATGCTTGTCCTACTTAAGAAAACCTTAATAAAAAAAAAGACTAATTCAATAATTAGATTTTATGTCATGATAAAATGTTTGATACGTGTCATTTGAGCAATCATCATTAGTCTCAATTATCAAGAATTCTAGATATTGCTCTAGATGCTAAGATAATCAATGATGTCGATAAAACTCCCTATGGAAACATTGTCTTTGCACTATACAGAGGTTGACAAAGTACGAGTAGTCGAAATCCTTGATAAGTATGCATTATATCGAAATGATGCTCGATTAAATTGTATTTTATGTTTTTGGAGCATAAAATAAACAGCTAATTTCTTTTTTTTTATGATGTACATATATGTATTGAGATGAATAGATGCTATAACGTGCTGTAACAACAGATGTACTCTTTTTTTGTCATTCTCTTTGACTGGTAATATAGTATGTTTTCGGTAATCGATTCATGTCTGTACATTATATAGATTTTGTTTCCCTTTAGTATACATGATTCATTCGTACTGAACAAAGTAAATTCGTTATTGAGTGTGGATGCAGATCTTTATTGCAGCGGCATCCAGATCCACACCCATATTCTTCTTTTGATAATAAAGTAAAATTTTTTATCTAGCTTGATACTTTTCTATCGGAAGAAAGTAGTAAAACCAATCTAGTTTTCCTCAACAAAGATCTTTATTGTTCTTTATATGAACTTTGTCTGAAATATTTCTCAGCACTGGTTACATAAACGTCTATTGAAAGTATATTTTCTTAAAGCGACTTTTTAATGCGTTCATATTACACATTGTTAACGTGAAATAATGAGTACTTGCTTACTTGTCTTAAATATAATAAGGTTTAGGTATAGTTTCATAGCTTGAAACTTCATCAGTAACAAATAATTATAACAATATTTTAATTGATGACTCTTACAATGCCTCGATCTCAAAATTGACACATCATTTCTAAAACTACTAATTAAATTTTAGTCTAGTGAGGTGTTCAAAAATTCGCTCTTACATACTCATAATCGAACAAGTTCGTATTTGCTCAGCTCTGGTGACAGTACAATGCTATATATTATTTTGGTGTCAAAATATATTGAATTTTGACACCAATTCATATGTCGATGGAAAAAAATTTCACTTTATTTACACAGAAAAATAAATTCTTTTCTTTTCTATTAAAGTCATCGTTCTATGTTGTATCTGTTGCGAAATGAATTCAGCATTAATCTTGACAATAAAAGAAAAAACGAATAAAATTATGTGTAATCTCTCATGAATGTTGAAAGAAAAAAAGACGACGGCATGATAAGAAACGAAACACCATCATAAAAAAACTATTCAAATTTCATTGAAAGAGCGAAGACACTAAACTCACTCGAGGGACATTCATAAATTTCAGTGTGTACATCGAGTAATAAATTCAGAGGACAATAATAACACAATTGAAGACAAACTTTTCTAACTATGAATTCTAAGGTAAGAAATGATAAAATTGTTCACGTTAAAAAACAACTTTTAAATGAAACTCAGCTTTTGATAATTGGTGCCGTGGCTGCAATTGCACTTGCTCTTGGACTTGGTATCATCATTGGCCATTTCGCAGTAACTAAGACAACAAGTGATACGTCTTGGAAGTATAATCATCTCACAAAACCAGCTGATCAACAAAATTATCAAATATTTATTGATTCTATTCAAGCAGCTAATATTGAAGCAAATCTTAAGTAATCTTAATTAAACTTTCATATCAACAAAAATATCTATACTACATTAAATTCTATAGAGATCTTACTTCACGTCCTCATATGGCTGGTCTACCTGAAGATTTAGAAAGTGCTCAAGTCATTGAACAACGATGGATAAATGATGGTTTACAAGTGACTAAACCAAAATATAATGTTCTTCTTTCTTATCCTGATGATAATAATC